CCCTGCAATGGGCATCAGTCTGTCTGACGCAGCTGCAACGTCCCTACCTGGGAGTAAATATGGAACGCAGCCAAAGTTAGCTAAAGGATGAACTATGTGGGTTCTTTTTACACAAAATAAACATTTTGTTTCCTAATAATGTTCTTCTTCTTCTTTCGGCTGTTCCCATTAGGGGTCGCCACAGCGAATCATCTGTTTCCACCTAACTCTATCCTCAGCATCCTCTACTCTCACCCCAGTTAACTTCATGTCCTCTTTTAGCACATCCATATATCTCCTCTTTGGCCTTCCTCTTGACCTCTTGCCTGGCAGCTCCATCTCCAACATCCTTCTACCAATATAACCACTACCCCTCCTCTGCACATGTCCAAACCATCTCAATCTGGCCTCTCTGACCTTGTCCCCAAAACAGCCGACCTGAGCTGTCCCTCTGATGTGCTCATTCCTAATCCTGTCCATCCTGGTCACTCCTAAAGAGAACCTCAACATCCTCATCTCTGCTACCTCCATCTCTGCCTCTTGTCTTTTCCTCACTGCTACAGTCTCTAACCCATACAGCATAGCTGGTCTCACTACTGTCTTGTACACCTTTCCTTGGATTCTTGCTGACACTCTTCTGTCACACAACACTCCTGACACCTTTCTCCACCCACTCCAACCCGCCTGCACTCGCCTCTTCACCTCTTTCCTACACTCCCCATCACACGGGACTTTCCACCCCAAATACTTAAACTCCTGCACCTTCTTGACCTCAGCCCCCTGTAACCTCACTGTTCCACTTCCCTCCCTCTCGTTCATACACATGTATTCCGTCTTACCACGACTGACTTTCATTCCTCCTTTCCAGAGCAGACCTCCACCTTTCCAGGTATTTCTTCCTAATAATGTTTATAAGGTTATTGGATAATAATATAATAAGGTTTATTATTTCATAAAACAAGGGGTTTGATTTACATTTTACATGTATTCCAGATGTGCCACCCCTCTCTGAGTCTGTGCTCCAGGGTGGCCACCCAGGCCAAGGTTTTCTACAGTAGGTCTGCCTCTGGACAGCACTGCTTCTTAAAGAGCTGCAGCTCCACCGGGAACATCTGTTTTGCCACATGGTGGAGAAACACTTTGATGCAGCACTGTAGTGGAAGCGATTTCTGTAGGTCTGGATTCTCTGGATATGGATATGGATTAATGCAGTGAGTACAAAATGTGAGTTTTATCCACTACTTAAGTGAAATTGCTTCACACCTCTTCTCATGTATGAGAGACGGTGCTTAGTATGTCGCTTTTATATGTATTGTGTGGTCGTGTTCTTAATTGATGCTTTCATTTAGATCAAACTGCAATTAATGAACATGTGTGAGTTTGAACTGCTGCTTAGGACACATGGCTGTGACAGATTGACTGTTACAGCCCATAAACCTGTAACCAGATGCTCTGTAAGTACTAAATCAACCTGCTGGGTATGTCTTCCTTACATCTTCCATGTGTCTGTTTCTTGGTTTTTAGAAATAATGGTGGAACATTTGTACCTTAATATATGTTGTGTTTTCCCACAGGAGCAGCCAAATACCCCAAATTCACCAGTGATGAATTGGCAAATTAATGGCCAGCTGTCAAAAGCCGGTAGCTTGGGCTTCTGCAGCCCATCGTTCCTAATCAAGAGCACCTAGCCCTTTTTAATATGTTGAAGATAAAGTAACAGGCACTGTGATAGCAGTCCTGCTAAATGAGCCATTGGAAAGGACGGCTCATTTTTCATAATCCTGGGAAGTCAATTAGGGGACTTATGGAGCTCAGGGAGGCCCAAGGAGACATGGAGGTGCAACGCTAGGAAAGAGACACACGTGAGTTTTAGTCACAAGAGGAAGACAAGCAGCGTCTCAATGGAAACACAACAGGGAAATGTTTGAAGCTGTGTCTGAAAGGGAAAAGAGGATGGGGCATATAAAAATGTCAGACGTAGTGACAGCGACACCAGTTTTCATCAGGCTTGTGTGATAAAAGTCAAAATACCCAAATTGCTTGTGGGTAAAAGGAAACTATTGTTTCTCTTTGTGTGACTCCAGCCATTCCTAAGAGACCTTAACAGCTACAATACCATGTCCTGCACTGACAACAAGCCAAAGAGAGAAATTGGATTTTTTAAATTCTGTTAATAAACATTTATGGTTCTGCCTGTGATCAGCGGGTAGTGTATGCATCATTACCTTATCTCTCTCCGGCAAGAAAACACAGCCACCTCTTTTGTCCTGTGCTTGCTGGTGTGGTTGAGTGTATTTACTAAACACTCAGGCCTCATTATAAAACGAAAGCTATTCTCCCTAACAGCGCCGCCTTGTTTTAATAAAATAGCTCATCATTTTGTTCCACAACAGATAAAACAGTCCCTGTTGCAGCTTCTCTTTGTGTCTGATATAAGTTATAGAACCAACATATGAAGAGTTCCTGTGGTGCACTTGGTTCATTCTGATTTGAATGTTTGTGTTTTTGCATTTCATGGTTTTTAATATGGAAGAAATACAATAACTCAACAGAGGTTGTATTTAGCGTTTCTCGTAGATTTGAGATTTTTTATTTTGCTATTGCAAAGTTTCACTGAAAGACAATAGTTCTTATAGTATAAACAGCTCGGTGTTTGAAACACACCCACAATAAAATAAATCAATAAATAACTGTCCTCTTTACTGTTTTTACAGTTTACATCAAGCCAGGACCTCCAACGTGCACTGGGGCGGTTTGCAGCAGAGTGTGAAGCGGCTGGGATGAGATTAATGGTTCTCAGTCGGAAAAGGGTGGCTTGTTCCCTTCAGGTTGGTGGAGAGTTCCTGCCTTAAGTGGAGGAGTTCAAGTATCTTGGCGTCTTGTTCATGAGTGAGGGAAGGATGGAACGGGAGATTGACAGGTGGATCGGTGCAGCTTCTGCAGTAATGCGGTCGATGTACCG